ACGATAAGTATAAAATTATATTAAAAAATCATACTAAAAATTCAAAATTGTGTTAAATAAGTCTAAATTTGGCTCTTAGCATCGAGCACTGTACAATTAAATCAAGTTTGCCGTATCCCCTCGTCTTCTGTTTATTCCGATTTTGATGCATTTCAATTTTTAACGTGAAAATCTCGTAAATTTTAAGACCTTGTATAACTGTTGTACGGTACGTGCTGCAATATGCGATAACCCAGTGCCATTTGATCCTCCAGCGACAAGAAATGCAGACGCGGATGTGGTGCCCATTGTTCCCTCGGTCCTTTCTTATCAGCTACTACAACGAGAAGCCAGTCTGGTTGTTCCAGAAGTTTTAGAACTGCATTCGGTGCATGATCGGCAATCGATGTTATTACAATCCATCGTTCTAGCAAAGTAAGCAGTTTCGGCTCAGATGAGCGCAGTTTGTCGGTAAGCAGGGAATATTTGGCAATACCCGCAGGATAGAAAAAGTATAAGATATTGATTAGGATGCAAAGAAGGCAGAAATATGAGGCAATAGAACGCCATGATAGCGTCATGAACATCGGTAACTGCAAAAAAAATTTTAAAATCAAAAAATCAGTGAAGCTTTCGATACCAGCGAGCGTCGCAAAGGGAGCCCTTTCTAGAAATTCGCTCCCGAATCGAAGGGAGCCATTCCTCTTCGCATCTTCTGGCCGCAGTGTGTTACGACTATGCCACCGGCTCAGAACAAATTTTCGAGAAAGGGCACAGTTTGTGACACTCTGCTGGGTCGCTATTTCCCGTAATATACTCCCCCCTTTCCAAGCATGCACGAGCCAATACTTTGAATAGTTCAAGCTGACGTTCAAAAAAAAGTTAAGATCCCGATATAGGTACTCCCAATGTTGTTGCAACGCAGAACACGCAACCAATAAAACCTCTCCACAGCTCAATCTTCCTGTGAAAAGCGGTGACACGTGAAAATATTCCAAGTGCATATTTTAAATTGAAATTTTGGTGGTTTATAATTATGAAAGACTGTAAAAAGATAAAAATGGAAATGTGAATAAAATAAATTAAAATCTGAATGAGAATGTTTCGGCCCATATTTGCCAGCAGCGAGGAACCGCTGGCAACTGTGGATGACTTTTGGGCTGTGCAGAAACAAGTTGATGGCAGTTTTCTGTTATTAATCGTGCCAGTTTTCCATTGAAACAAATGAAAGGAACGTAGACGGACTGACTGCCCCAATATAAAAATCGAAACCTCAATCTTTCAGCATGAAAGTGCTGCCTGCTTCTTAGCCATGTCCTCAAGGGG